TCCCCCAAAATCCTCTGTGTTTCAAGTCGGAGTCTCAAATTATGGACTACCATGTACTCAGATTAGACTGCCATAATATATATTGCTTACTATGAAGCAAAGCGGATAGATCTTGAAGCCGCGAGAAGACTCTATTACAGCCGAGATGGTCTACCCGATCCACAAATGATTACATGAAAGCCAATAATGGATTGGTTCATCATAATCAAGTATATGTATAAATTCTGGTACAGCAGAGAAGGGCTGAACTAGGCTATCCATATTGTACGATTACCCCTTACTCTCGTCTTAGGTCTTCAGAATCCGGGTATAAGGCAGTCATGTTAACTGTGGATGCTCCAATGCTGGAACGATGCCTGAATGAGTAAAGAAACACTTTCGGAATCCCAGAAGGCATGGGCTATCCGAACCTTGCGCCTGGGCTGGATATGAGTATCTTGACGGATACGGGTGAGGGGTTAGCATATGGTAAGCTCTTATGCTTCCTTCCATATCTACTTTTAGAGCACTAATCATGTATCTTCAGAGGATGGTAATGAATGGGCCGAAGCAATCGTCTGGATAGGAAGTGTGACCATTCTCGACATTTGGCTGAAAGGAAGTACGTCCCTGATTTTACACGCAATCTGGGATAATACTTATACTATGTGTTAGTCTATACCGCTGACGATGTTGCACTAGCCATCCACCACGGAGTCAACAGTGTTTTGATCTCCAACCACGGAGGTAAACAATTGAACGGAGTGCCAGCCACAGTTGATGCCCTTCGTGAATGTACACCTGTCGCCAAAGGCGAGATCATGATTGCCAATGATGGAGGTATTCGCCGGGGCAGAGATATTTTCAAGATTTGGCCCTAGGAGCGGACTTTTGTTTCGCTGGAAGAATTCCTATCTGGGGATTGGCGGTTAGTCTATCTTCGAGCATCCTTACGGGCCCGGGCTGACTCTAGCTATGCAGTATAATGGGCCAAAGGGAGTTGAACTTGCTGTCAAGCTGTTGCAGGAAGAATTCAAGTTAGCTATGTGCCTCGCTGGGTAAGCGAAATCATTCCCTTCTTCAGTGGTTGTCTCGCACAAATCATTGTGGTACTGCCCTAAACCCACATGCAAATCTGTCAAGGATATCAACAAGAGTCTCCTCCCCATCCTTGAGACAAACGTTGTACTTTCGAAGCTCTAACATTACTACTCAGTATCCTATAAACTGTGGACTAAGATATATATGTGCCGAGCTATTAAGAGGGGCTAAGAAACGCTAGGCTCAGAGGGATACGGGTCCATAATTTATTCGTATCGTTTCTTAGCTAGTATTGCTTGCAGTAGTTCCTACTTGTTTTATACTACAGATTAATGTGAAATAGAATGTAAATTCAGCAACTTGAAATGCTAGTGCTCTAAAAAGGTTCAGGTCCATAAAATCTAGATACACCTGCATTGGCATAACACTTCCTAGTTAAGAGGCCAGTCAAATGGGTTATGGATGTTCAAGGTCCCGATCAGTTGAGGTGTCTGACTCCAGCCCCTTACCAGCGGAGCACTTTGTTAGGGAAGTATTCGTCAATCAGCTCGAGATAGTAAGGCTTTTCATTTAAGAACCAGTGTTAGTGGCAATACCTCACATGGAAGAGCTCTGGGTATTCTCACCTTCAGCTTCACTGGATCCGGCACGCTATCGCTCTTGCTGTACAAATCATAAGGGTTAAAAGCCCGCACCGCCGCAAGCATTTTCTTATCATGCTCATTCATCAACTCGTGGTAAGCATTCTCCCGGTGCCAGGGATAGAACGAGTGATATCTGATCATCGCAAGACCTTCATCAGGAATAGTCGACTGATCTTTGACAATGTGATACAAGTATTCATCATGACCCCAGCAAAGCATGACATTCTCCAGTCCACAGCCAGGAGAATAGATCCCAAACTTGGTATTGTAGATCGGGTTCTTGATGTCCTCATTGTTTTTGAAAGATTCCGTACCAAAAATGATGCGATCATCAAAAGCACATCCAACAGGAAACGTATCGCCCACGACATCCCACTGACCCTGTGCGCCGAAGAAGAAAAGCAACTTTCCCAGATCATGAATCAATCCGACAAGTTGCATCCAGCGCGGCTTTCCCTCCTGGCGAATTGCTTCAGCAGACTGAAGAAGGTGCGTCATCTGTGACTCCTGGGTATCGGGGTCACATTCATCGATGAAGGTGTTGAGCTTCTCAATGGCTTCCCAGACGGTCATATGGGCTCGCGTCTTGTTGTGAAAGTTGTGTCGGGCTTTCAGGTTGTAAGCTACGGTTTGTAGGGTGTGTTGCTGCGCGTAGAAGTTCTTCACACGGTCACAAGCATCGTTGAATTGGCGGAAGGTAGTCTTGTCTTTGGCTTTGTCAAACTCGGAGTCGTCGTATAGATTTTTCGATGTTGCGGGGTCGGTGTTCTTGGCTCTTAGGACGTTCACTGCATCGATCATGTCGGAGGTGGCTTCGATGTTGGTTGGAGCCAGCGAAATCTCGACAGATGGCATGATGGCTGTCTTGCTTAGTAGCTTCGGAAGGATAACTTGGGGTATTTCTTTGAGATAGTTGTGTCTGCTCAGTAGGTACCAGACCTTGATGACTGTGGATGGATTTAAATACCTGGTACCTTCCCTCAAGACAGCCTAATGAGATATAATCTCGTGTGACTCGGATACAAGAATCCGCATGCTTTTCGTATACAATGTTAATAGCATGCAAGGGTGTAGGCTACCGGCTTCACACCCCGTAAGTAAGCGGAAAGCGGTTTCATGCTTGCTGATGGAAAGCGAATTCCGCTTCAGATGGCGTACAACCCTCCTCAAAGCTTAAGAGGGATCGCTAACTCGGGAATATAGTCATGAGATGTGCAATCTCCCTACATGCATGCCTCATACCGGGATTCAAATCGATGTTCTCTTTCCAGGAAATGGACAATCCGTAAAAGTACATTGATAGCCATGTATTGATTGAGTAAACTATTCCCTCTAGGTATTTCACCTAGTGATATATATGACTAATCTCTCCAGTATTCCAAGAAGGGGATGTTGGGTTTCTCTTTCACGACGTAGTTCCTTAGCCTGAGGGCTTCTAGATTTGCGCGATATGGTATCGGACTGCGTATATGACAGCGATGGATTACAGAAAGCAGTTTTACATTAGTTCTCAGATATATTAGATGTCTCTTTTTCGATGTAAGTTTGCTTCTCACAATGCTCGGCCTTGTAGTCGTAGAGCCAGATGCGGGGCGGAGCTTCCTAGGATCACGATCGATTAACAAATGACTATCTGCATTGTATTGAAGCCACAGACACGGCCGCTACAGGTAGAAATAATATAGGGTGTATTCTTTGCCATGTAATTTACACGCCTCCCACGATTCTGTATGTGTACTTACTTACGCTAGGATGCTTGAGGCTTCGAAGCGCAAGAATATTGTAGAGTGGAGCCTCCAATGATTTCCCGATTGCAACCAAGGCCAATGAGGGTCACGGATTATTTATCTTGGAATGTGATAGGCACAACTTAGAGAAAGGATCGACACGTAAGTGCTCATCCCATACCAGGATATGGTACGAGGAGAATCGACGAGATGATATATGCCAAGTCGGAATTCGACCTGCGTTTGCGGGGAAGCTCAACGATGCCGGAGAATGACCACCGAGAGGCCAATCCTTGTTCCGCAGGAGTCAGACTGCCTGTCCATTCTAGCAGAGAGGTAAGGGCAGTCTTTGGGCGACGTGTCTGTAATTCGAAGTGATATACCACAATCTAGCTGACTGAGTTCGATGAAAATTGGCAGGGGAAAAGATGGCATACCTATTTCAATTTACGCAAAACACTTAATCATGACAGCATCTGGACTCCCTTAGCTGGATACTCTGGCGTTTACAGACTCGCTCAGAATCAACGCTCTTAATCTCAGTAGTCTATTAAGATATCTTTTCCTCCAAGGACTTTGTTCTCCCAGGTCCTGGATCAAGCGGAAACCGAGCCGAAATCACCCAATATGTAAATGTCACAGTTTTTTTTTTTTTTTTTTTTTTTTTTTTTTTTTTTTTTTTTTTTTTTTTTCTTTTTTTGTGACTGGTTGGGTTTAGTCCTCGTGCCGCTAGAAGCCCAAAACTGAATTAATAACATAAATTACAGCTGTTGTTCGTTTTGTTGAGCTTCTCTCCCTGGGCTAGCGTATAGAAGGCTATCTTCCTCAGCATTCTCCACATGAAAACAACTCGTACAGTATATATATTAAGTTCGCCGAAGACAACCCTATAGAGCTTTTGATTGAATCTCCGGGGATTTTTAGTTTCTGTCACTATGTTGGATAGTGGACTTTGATCCAAAATGTTGAACTGCTCCATTCTAGATGAAAAGGCATAAGAAAAAACAAACAAATCTGGCTTCGCTTGTGACGTATTCACAATGCTCCTGTAAAGGTAGCATAAACAACATCTTCCTCATATTGTATTCAGAAACACCAATGGAAACTTGACGAACACACGTAGCAATCGCTGTAGGTCCGACAAAGAGCATGTGTATGACAGCGTGGGTGAGTGCAATGATTTGATAGGCCAGGATTGGCTGCTTCAGCCTTCCCAGGTGCAACATCCTCGGCTTCATTATCAGAAATTGGGTCATTGCTATGGAACCTTTTTGCCGATTCCATTGAGGAGTCCAGTTCTTCGCAGAGAGAATCTGATGCAATAGCTAACACTGTAGCATCATGGTCTAGCAGATAGTATCCCCCATTCCTATCGTCCAAGGTTCCCATAGGATATTGGTCTGCCATGTCGTTGAGTTGCTTGCGGGTCTCCAAAATTATGATTCCCTCGGGGATTGGTACAGTATATCGGTCTGTCGACATCGAGAATCTGCTTGCGGCACTTGCAACCAGGAATAGGAGTCCACTAATATTCTTCAATAACATAATAAGGATTTGGTAGGTTCTGAAAGATTAGTTAGCAAGACTATGAAAAGGTATTTTATGCAGAGTGAGTGCTGTATAAACAGAAGTGTACCTTTGAATGTCCCTTGCTTCTTTTTGCACCCTTGTTGCTACCTTATCTGTCAACGATCATGAATGTAAGACAATATTTTAGAGAGCTGGGGGTGGATACTACTTATATAGTTTATAGGGGAGGGCCACTTATATAAAAGACACTACTATTAAGAGCACACAGTAGCCATTATTGGTCTTGCTACAACTCCGTTGCAATATTAATGCACTCACAACAACGGAATAACTTGGCACAAGGCGGGAAATAGTAGCATGGCAATGTTACATTGCATTAACTGGCATCCAGTCTCCAACCTCTCGCCAGGTTTAGGAAAGCAGGTTATTAGACGGCAGATGTCACCTACCTGTGTACTCGGATTCGAGTTAATCTTCCCCGAATTAGCCCATCAAGTGGCTCATCGCAACACGCGGACATTGGGCTGTCAACATACTCTATTGGACCTGGTAGACTACATTAAAGTTCGGGGTCGGCGAACGAATAATCATAAATTTCACGCTAGTTTCGACCGAGCCCAGTGACATGTGCGAATCTCCTTTTTTCGCCCAACCACGTCCATACCTACTCCGACTCTAATGCTGCCTCCACAGCATTACGATAGTATATTAATTTTATCATCTTATAGATACCCTGGCTTGAGTTAGGAATATGTTAAGCCTTATTAAGTATAAATGCGGGGTATCATGATAAATACTTTTGAAGTCTCCGAGGTTCTCCAGGTTTCCAAGTGGCCAGCCCATCGTGCGTTTTCGACAAAGAAGGCAGGTGGACCAACACAGTGAGTAGCCTGACGGCCCTTTGGGTCTTCTGTCACTTCGTTTGTATTTTCCACGAAAATCTGTTATGAAAAATAGGATCGGCCTGAGGATTCCCCCGCCCTGATATATGTCTTTCCACGGACGAATTCCTGTATACTAACTAAGTACGCTTATACAGTTCAATGTCTTAGTTGTCTCTATTCAATGTCAATTCCCCTGACCTACCGTGATTTCACAACATAGGTTATAAGCCCGGACAGCTAGACTAGGCTTAGCAATACTACCTAGCAATACTTGACAGCTAGAGATTCCTACCTCGCTGCTATAGCATCTAATAGTTCAATTAGTCTGCTCGATCATTTGCTTTGTATGCACTGTACTTATTTAGATCTGTGGGTCTTACACAAGGATAGTCACGCACTTGATTTTGATTCGACTGAACTCCGATGCACCTAACACAGCCCATTGTCTTGATTTGACGGCATCCAAATTACGCAGTTAATCTCGGGAAATACCGTCTGGGTAGTTCCAAACTTGTGGTGTCTGACCGTCATTTCCGTGGAGGAGTCTAAAGCACAGCCTCACAGCTCTTGAGAAACCTTCAGGGCAAGGGTAGCCCGTCTGCTTATAAGAGGACTAATGTGCCGTGCCTAATTTTATATACATATATAATTGTATTAGGACAGACGAGTATATTATATATATAACACTGGAATACCTACTCTTAGTGTTATCTATTATAAGTATAATCCCACAGCCTACTCAGCCTTTAACATTCCCGTTTAAGAATCTAATATAGATTTAGTATCTAACTATCTGCGACACCCTGATGCTTACAGCACAGGGGTCGGTTAAGATTAGTACATCCCCGCTCATATTTGTGAAGCCGCTGGAGCGACTAGCACCTTCAGCGCAACCCTTGACTAGGGTTTAGTAGCAGGTATTGGCTTACAGCTTACGTTGGTAACCACTTCTGCGAAGCACCGGAAACAAGCCCGCAGCTTTCTCGAAGTGTCTGTCACATGGTTCCGCGTTGCACGGAAGAGCTCACCATGTGGCGAGAGTGTGAACTCCTTGTTCTCGTTAACGCTGTCTCTGGCATCGTGCGAGCTTTACCAGAAGTATGAAATATTAATTAGTCTTCCAACCTAACAAGATGGGTCATCACTGCATACATCCCGCAGTGGCCCTGAGGGGTTACTCGTTTCTTCCGCTGTGGTCCAGCAAAACAAGGGGTGACTGCGGCGCGACTGCGGCGCTATACTTCACGCTAATATATGTCCGCAGCCATATCTGAGACTCTTGCCACACAGGCCAAATTAGTAGCAGACCTTTTCTGGCATGTGAAAGCACTGCGCTCGACAACAGTCAAGAATACAAAGAACTGTGCTACACTTGACTAAAATATCTTAAAGATAGGCCACAAGGAAACAAAACATTCTTTACCTCCAGGAACTTCCATGAGAGATTATCATAACGTAACCCACGGTTAAGCGGCCCACACGGTTAGGCGGCCCATCTGGTTATCCCATATAAAAGATGTTTTTTTAAATCTTCATATCTCAACCAATACTGAATATAATCAGTTCTAACTTAATATATAGATAATATACAGTAGAATAAATAATATATAATTTTTCTAGATTTTTAAGAATTTCTTTTATGAAAAATATATCAATATATCCAAAATTACAGATAAATTACAGATTTTGTAATATGATAAGATACTATTCATATTTATATAGATTTTTGAGATGTATTGGATAGTTATTTATATAATTTATAATCTATTTATACAATATTGAGTCTTCTAGTCTTATAATGGTTGAGATATCTTGTGTTCAAAAAGGGTCTTTTGTATAGTATTACCAGCTGGGCCGCCTAACCGTGTGGGCCGTTTAACCGTGGGTTACGTTATAATCCACTAATCCACTTAGTCAGCGTGGTCTTGCACATGCAACAGTTACTTCTATAAATTATTTAATCATGCACTGAATATTATAGAGGCATACGGAGTATGTTGCTCTATCCTAACTGAGTTTATTATAAAATATAGGCATGCTCAGTTTATTTCTGATTTTATCTAATATATTTTCAAGATTATTCACGGCAAGATAAATTATATAATAGAATAAGTCCTAATCCTCTTTCTGGAAATAATCTTATAATATAGTAAAAAGGCAGGATACCTTCTTCTGTTTATAGCTTGATTATTTCTGTAATCTCTAGAGTATATCCCTGGTTCCTGTTTTCTACTATTATCAAGTATTAATATAAGTCTTGTTTCTAGTTGTTCAATGAGCCATACTGCTTCGTTTGACTCTACGGACCTCGTAACTATCTCTCAGTACCTATTTGTCATATTCGATCATCATTATCCATAATCAGGTCGGCTCAGTACACCTCAACAAAACAACTTGAATCGTGAGTGTCACTTTCATTCTATCTAGTTCTTTAAGGTCTCACCCTCGAAAAATATCTTCTCTCCACTAATCAAACTGCGCTGCAAAGCCTGCCCAACAGCGACCGCCCTAACCGAGCTCCGAAGGCTGATCGGTGGAGCCTTATTCTCCAAACAACACTCAGTAAACTCAGCAGCCTCAGTAACGAAAGCCTCCCTAAACCGCTCATAATAGTGCTGTGGAAGCAGCCGTCTAGCGCCTGCAGCGTCATGAATCTCAACATGATTCTTTCGCGGCTGAAAATTCACCTGAATTGAACCCCTTTCACAGATAAGTTCAGTAATATCCTCCTGTCCCGCCGCCATCATGCGCGTGCAGTACAAAGCAGCCATCTTACCACCCTCAAATTCAAGCGTGGCCAATGCATTGTCGCGATCATTGCTTTCCTGTAATCCAGGATGCACGGCAGTGACTCCCACAGACTGCAGGCTCTTGATGTTGCTGTCCTCGCCAAGGAACCACAGCATGAGATCAATGTCATGGATGGAACAATCGAGGAAGATACCGCCGCTTGTCTTTGCATATTCCACGAAGAAGCCCGAGGTATCGATCAAGTCCGCAGTCTGGGAGCGGAAAACAACAGGGAGACCGAATTCGCCCCGCGTGATCCGTTCATGAGCTTCGCGGTATGAGGCGTCGAAGCGGCGCGAGAAGCCACACATCACCTTCTGCTTAGGGTGCGTTTTCAGAGATTCTTCATAAGCGTCAAGGACGGATTGAGCCTTCATGTCAAGACAAATGTCAGCACCTTAGAACACGAGGCTTCATGCATTTGGTAGGACGCACAACATCAAGGTCAATACTGAGAGGCTTCTCACACAGAACATGCAAGCCCTTCTTGATTGCCTTGATAGCTTGCTCAGCGTGTACTGCCGTAATACTGGCAATGACCACAGCCTCCAAGTCCTCTCTCTCGAGCATCTCATCATAGTCGGCGTATATCGTCACTCCCTCCAGGTTTTCCTGTCCCCATTCCCTTTCCTCACCATCAGGCGTGCTCGCTGCAATGACGTTGGCTCGGGCGGTCAACTCATGAAAATTGACGGCATGGCGTTTACCTTTAGTTGTTAGGTAACTAGCTGAACTTCATGGCGAATTAGACGTACCCATGCGGCCGAGGCCTGCGATGCCGACACGGAGCTTAGTTTTCGCCATATTGTCTTGGGAGTATCAGCGAATGCTTGAGAGGAATATTACCTGGGCAAGGTATTACACAATTTAAGTAGCGCTGCTTCAGCCCGCGAAATGAATGCCGATGTTAATCAGGCACGGAAATCAACAGAATTCTTGCCGGGATTCTACATCCGTCTACATTCCCCAGGCCACGGAATACGTGCATAACTGCATATAACAAAATCGTGTTCTCGACACCCTTGGAAACTGTTTCCCTTCCCTAAGAAGTCTGTATCACACGCACTTTTGACAAGACGGTTACTGTTTTGCGGGCCGTCGCCTAGGCTTCCGATGAGTAAAGCCAAGCAGTCTTCTCCGTTGGAAGTCACGGTGAACCCTGCATGAAAATTAGATCCTGGGCTGTATTATGCATACCTTCGTCCGATTTGAATAACAGAGTTGATGGAAACACATTTGCGGTTGCTTGCACCTTCCAGCATAACAAAGGAGAAGCTTTCGTCGTTCTACCTAGGCACTTAAGACCCAGACATACTATTTCACTTTGCACGCTTGCAGTGCTCAAGCCCACCCGTCTCTTTCTCCAAGTGGGCGCGGAACTCAAACTCTCCAGCAAGGGGCCAATGTATCCAGAGCGTGTGCATCTGCCATGGATGTACAGGGAGCTTATGACTCCGTTAGAGTGCCAATGCTGTTTCCTGTCCTCGCGTTCCCCCCCCCCCCCCTAATATACCTATCAGGCCATTGATATAGGACAATAGTCAGCTTGCGACCTTGGTTTTAATGGTTTAGCATCGAATATCACGGACACCAGGTCCATCCCAGTCACGGAGAAGGAGGGAATGACACTACTGGTTTAGCACCAACCTGTCAATTACATGCCACCCGATATTTCTGCAAGTCACAATGAGTCTTTTTCCCTGCAGCAAGTCAGATTTTAGGGCGTAGTGTTGAAATCCCAGCCAAGACTACAGGTCGCCCGTAAGTTCACTGATTGTCAGCATGTGAGATGCACTTTCTGACATGGAGAGAATGATGTCATGATCGTCGAGCTTTCTAAGCAGTCCCCGCGATGATTGAGTTGGCAAATCCCTCGGGGCGCAGGGATCATCTTCGCTGGGCCGAACTGCGATGCCCGGCTGGCAGAGATCATATTACTAAGAGTCAGTTATGTTCGTTCATACTTTGGATACAGTGTTCTCCTTATGACCAAAGAGAAACATCACTTAGTAGCCGTATTGAAGTTACTGCATCATTTGTCATGTGTAAAAGGTACGGATTTGTGGGATGATGCGCAGAGGCGATGTATGATATATATATTCGGATGACCGACGGTGTCACCGCCACATCCTTTTTTCAGTCATCCCAACCCGTAATACATCCTTTGAGCCCAGAAATCCAATCTACTGGTAGGTTGTTAGAGAAAGAAGCATGTTGGAGAATGAGACTAAGCCTGCGCGGCCTGATTGGAACAACTAATGGCTCACTACTTGGCAAGGCTGAGTGCCGCGGAGAGCGAGGTCAGACGCGAAAAGACCCTGGCAGTACCTCTGCGACAAAATCTAGCAATGTTACATGTCACATAGAACTGGCCAAATCCTTTGAGAGCATTAGGTAACACCCAGGCAATGAGGGATCAATAACTTCAGGCAACAAAAACGGTGACACGTTTTCTGCTTGCGATACGGATGAAACCAACATGACTAACTCTGTCAACAGCGCTTTGACGCTTCTAAGCCAAGACCATGCAGGGTCCTGGGGGTCAATGATCATCTTACTCAGGGTGTTTGTTGGTTCGTCGTGAGATGCACACTCATTTTCGGGTTTTAAGTGTGATGGCGGTGATATCCGGAGCCACGCCATGCCATGTATCCGCCAAGATCCACCGCGTCTATTAATAATAGCGGCGAGAGACAACAAGAGAGACAAAGAGTCGGGAATAAGAGAGGGAATCCGGTGGGACTGCCGTGTGCCAAGGACTTTGTTCCTCCTTGATCCTCCCCAAAAGGTCTGGCAACCCGGAGGTGTTTCCCACATCAGCATCTGGTCTCGTGCAGGTGAGTTGGTGAGGAGAATAATGCCGATGGACGAGCGGGGAAGCGAGGTTGCAGCTGGTCCCATGTATCCATGCAAATGAGCGGATTCTAACATCATATGGAGGTATGCACACGTGCTACGTGCCTGCTTGGTGCAGTTTGCAATCGAACCTACAGTTGAATCTACAATTCCACAAAACACTAACGGCACGTCAACGCATGATGCAACACGGGAAAGATTTCACTGGCCAAGAGAGCAGAGATGCAATGGCAATTGGGTAGAAGGGGGCTATGTAAGACAGTGTTGGAGTGAGACAGCGGGAAGAGGCAGAACGGGAAAAATTGTGAATAACAATAATGAAAGGGGAATAAATTGAACGGACAAGAGATTTCTCTGGAAGCCTTGGCGGTGGAGTATTCCACGAGATGCCTGTCTGTTGATTGGACAGAGTGGATGTAACCCCCCGCTCGGGGGCCCCAAAAAGGAATGTGGTCACGCCCGGAGGGTCCGGACTAGACTCTTCTGGGGCATCAGGCCTCCTGTTTGGGATGAAAATAAAAGGTGCATCGTTCAGTCAAACCGAAGAGGAAAGTCCCCAACACGTGTTCTTGGGGGCGAAAGACAAGCCTGCGGATCGCTGGAAATAGTGGCAACTAGACTGGAAGAGCTTTTTGCTTGTATCTACTGTATCAGTGGGGGACAAAATTATTCTCAAACAACAAACCCTCTAGTGTAACCCCTATTGCAATTAATGGAAAGGATGTTTGGGATGGATTGCCCCGGAACACACGACCGATGATAATTGTAGTTAAGATTTCCCCTGTCTCAGACTGACTGCCCAGGGTCTGCGGGGCTTGGCTCGGAGGGTGATTGGCTTTCGGGGCACGTCTGGCAACGCCGCTGCTTCTAATTTTACCGATTCTCGCCTGCACAGCCAATGGCTGCCATGTTGCTGGTGGACCATCAGGGTCCAGGGCCCTCAGGGTCCAACTTTCTCTACACCAGGCATCCACCCCATTCACCCTCGGTCATTAGTACTGTGTAGTACTGTGTAGTAGAGGCCACTAGTTCCGGAGCACTACTGGTAGCCCCCCTCAAGTCACTAGACCGCTTGGAGGTCGGCACACCGTGAACCACCCAGCTTTAGAGTTCGCCCAGTTCGTTGGACTGGCCAGCGTGCTATATTGCCCGTTTTGATGCAGGGCTGTGAATTGAAACTGCGGCTCTATCCGTGATTGCTGGCCGTAAGAAAGACTCCACCTCCTCAGGCCTCCATCATCATGGCGTCCTGCTCTTCTTTCCCCATCTCTCTCCTCTTTTCCCTTCTCCTCCTCCTCCTCTTCTTCTTCTTCCTCCTCTCTCCTTGAAGAACCCCTCGTTCCCTTCTTCAGCTTTTGACGCCTTCTTCCATCATTCCGGGCTTCCATCCCGGTCACGCCATCTCCGTCCTTCACCCTTCAATGGGTGTACTCTCTTAGTTCGTGGTGCTATGCGGTCCGTCTGCTGAGATACTGTGACTTTCCTGCTGCACCATGAAGCTCTCCAATCCCCTCCGTCGCTGCGGCCCTGCCCTGCAGCGTCTGCGTACATCTCCTGGCGAGTTTTTCGACTACACATGGGAGTTCACGCGCCGATATTTCTTCACGGTCTCCTTCATCGCACTTTTTGGCGCCAAATTGTTGCATCTATACGCTCACATCCACTCTCTCCCCCCTCCTAAATTCATCCTTTGGGGCTCGACCTTTTTCTTCCAGGATGTGATTCTCACCCTCCTCATCCGCTTCTTCACTCAGAAATTCCACTGGCGCACCGTCGCATTGTTGTCAGCTTTGGTGATTGTACCATTCAGGTAGGCTGCAAACATACCAAAAAGACGTTCTGTCAACAACTGACCCATCTAGTTTGATCATGTCCGGAATGACCGCCGCAAATACCTCCTTCTACGTTGTCACCGGTGCCGAAATCCACTGGCGACAGGCCAAAACCTTCCACCGCGATGCCGCCGCGATGCGCACATTGTTGCAGGGATTAACCGGGTTCCTGATCGTGGAAGGCATTCTGCTGACCGTGGCCTGGTTTCTGTCTGCACCACTGCATCGCGTTGTTGGTGGCATCCTCACAATCCTGGGACAGCCTTTCAAATGTTTGTTCCGCTGTATGAGCCGAGTTCGTGCGTTCCGCCCGAGATCCGCGTTGCCGGAACCCGAGATCTACGAGCAGATCGGCGTGGATGACTATCTCGACGACAAGAGTGACGATGGCTCTTCTATCCACCTTCTCGAGCCATATGGCGAAGTGTCACCCGTTGCGAGACGGGGACACTCGATTCTGATCAAGCTCGCCGTCTGGGTGCCATTCCTCAGCTTGGTCTTGCTGCGCGTGGTTCGACCTTGGGATCCCGCCTACATGTTCTTGTCAGAAGCCTTGCCAGTGGCACCCTTCATCGGTGGCCATCGGCACTCCCCCGTCCGCGCTGGGGGACTGCCAGGGGACTATGAGTGGCTGGAGGATCGCACACCGTTAGACAAGGTACCCAAATGGGACGGCTGCCGAAGGGTGGACTGCCGGC